TAAATTACTCTTACTGTAGGTATTATTAAAAATAAAATAGTAAAATAAACGATAATAATTGCTGAATATCACTAAATAATAAGATTAAAAATAAGTACCTAATGAAAAGTAGCTCCATTCAAGTATATTTATATTCAACAGTTAAAATTAAAGTAAACCTAAAAGAAAAAATCGATTGTAATATTAGGTTTTTATTCGACAACACGATAATAACAGTATTGTAGAAACCAAATATTGCACCCGAGGTATAACTTCGAAATCTACCCTCATGTATTTTTAATTTAAAAATATTATATTTATTAGTTATTATTTTTAACTAATATAATAGACGTTGAAGTTTTTGTAAATGAAATGTATAACATTGACCGTTGCAATTTTTGACATAAAATGCAATTTTTTTTTTTTGCGCCCAGAGCATAGGCTTCTCTCACTCCTCCCCTCTTACTACGATTCTGATAGTTAGTACACATTTTGATTGATTATTTTAAATAGAGTTAACATCTATTTTTGCCGTTTAAAAATGTGGTAGATTATGCGAAGCACATGTCACCCTCCGTTTGATAAACGTTTATAAACCAAAAATAAATACCATGCCTGCTCAAAAATTGTGCATTTTATGATATACCCATATTATATGAATCTCCCTCAAGAAAAACTCCAAGTAAAAAATATCCTTTTCACGTTTTCTATATTATTACCGATTGAACATTATACATACCTATATTTAGTTAGTCGCAATGCCATGTTTTAATAAAAATATTATTTAATGTTATTTAAAATGAATGTACATAAAAGTATACCAATTTAATGTCAATGGATTCTACATTAGCCTACTAGTTCTTCTGCGGCCATGTGCCACCTTGTGTACGCACAACTATACAAATATCGTAGGTATACATTATATATGTGTATAAATAGGTTTATTTTAAAACAAGGGGACTCTCGCATCACTTACAAAACCCTTCTCCGTATCGTTCACAAGTTACATTATTAACTATCTTTCTAATCGGTGTACAAAAATAGTATTGGAAATCGTGGTAAACTCGTGATTTTGAACGGTTAGAGCACTCTAACTAACATCCAGAGATCAACTCTCTCTAGTACAAGACTTATCGGTTACTGGTATACCATTATGAACCATTTATTGGATACCACTAATAGGGCCGGCCCTGTTAATGGTATCACTTAGGTGTAACTGTGGTACTGTGCTACAGCACAATAGGCCGCGGACGTGAAAAAAATCTTTACTGAAATTATAGAATAGTAAACAGATTATCTATTTATAGCGCCTTGGTACCTAATTTTATTTTTTTTGTAAAGTAACTCAATGCATGATTATGGAAAATCCTATATATATTATAAATTATATTATACTGAAATCTAGTCTGAATCTTCTTTTTAGCTGTAAATCTAGTATTTACCATTTTTAATGTATATCATATATTATGTATATTGTATATATTTATACACATACATATGTGTATGTAATGTGACACACATATGTGTATGTGTGTTATGATAATTAATGTTATCACAGATGATAGAATAAATAAATTGATAACAAAGCCCGTGATGGACCGTATGACTGTATTATTATATTCTGTGATATTGTTCTATTATGATAACCGTGGTTGATATGGCGCCGCGTTAATCAGACAAAATAATATCCGTTCAAAAAATCGCGACCTGCGAAATGACCACGAAGTTCTCTTAACGTTTGTCAAAGAACACGTTATCATAATAATAAGGATATAGAACTGTTGAAGAACGTTTTTGGGTACTTATAAATTTAAATAATATATCGCAAAAGCATTGCATTAAAAAATTCTACCTTTTTTTTTGTATATGTAACAATACTTTTACAAACCGTATAATTGAGTAATGTTTTTTTCTGCATCATTTTATCATGTAAATGAATTATGTTGTTTCCTATATTTTATTTATATTACACTATAATTAAGATAGTATTCTAAATGAAACGACTACTATATTAAAATAATACTTCTGAAAACAATCAAAATAATATTATGTCATACTATATTATATTGGTAATTAAGGAAATATTGAAATAGATTAATTTTATATTCTGTAGAATTGTTTAATAGATTTTAATATATTTTAAAAATTAATAAGCAGATGATTTTTCTAGGAAATATAATTTCATTTTCTGATCACAAAATATATTAAAATTATATTTCAAAAATAACAATAAATTATTCAGTAGAACAATTTTAACTACGGCTTAAAGCGTAATAATATTTGTAACTTAATTTAAATTTAAAATATTTGTATCATAATATCATCTGATTGTAAGTTTTTACATCATATTAATCTTTGTTGGACATATAGATTCGATTCTACAATTTATATTTGAGTTTAAATTTTATTGAAGTATTCGATGGTAAAAAAAATGTAAAAATTCTGACATTCTTAAAATTAATTTTGATCGATATCGTATACATATAACTAATTAAGTAATAACATTATAAACGCGTAGTCTATAAACTCAGATTTTTAATTAATCAGATATTCCCTTCCAGTGAAAATTTATGACTATCACTTAACAACTGACTCATATTACTATACGATGATGTATGTTATAAAACTTTTTTAAATATATTAAGTGAAATTGCGTCATAAATTTATATTTTTAATGTGCATCATACATTGAAGAATAACAAAGTTGTCAAAGCGTTAAAACATTTTGATTTCCATGGTATTTTTCATCATTTGTTAATACATTTCTATAAATTATTAATAACTCTAGTAGTTATAAAAAGTTAATCGAATATTCAAAAATGGAACGCCATAAAATTTTATGGAATACAATACATCTTATGTATATTATTAATAGAGGTACCTAATTAGGGTATTAAAAGACGCCGGGGTCACGACATGTTGAGTTTATTAATTTTTTTATTCAATAAACAATAATTATTAATAGAAAATAGAAATTGCACATGTAGGTACATTTTATTATTTGTTATTTTTAATAGTTTTTCGTACGATTTGTGTTTATCCACAAATTAAATGTCCAAAAAGAAAATAAGCTTGGTATCGTAAATATTAAATATGATTTTTTAAATAACAATTACTAATCATAAACAAACAATATATTTTTTAAAAGGGCAAAGTACTGATAATATATATTTAACAATATAAAAAAAGTAATTATATGCAGAGAGTGCTAAAAATGTAAATAATAACATGATTATAAAAATGTGACTTAACAAATAATAATGAAAAAAAATGTTTGCTTAAAAACAAAACAAGTGTGCATTATAGCATAATAAGCAATTTAAGATTAGATACGAATAATATTAGAAAGCGATACTTTTTCATATTCAGATATTAAAAGTATGATACGATAAAGACTTCGAATGCGGTGAAGATTTAAATTATATTAGATTGAATTCAAAAACAAATACTTATGATCGGTAAAATATCGATGTATTTACCTAATATTTATACATGTACGCAAATTGAATAAAAACATTTATAATTTAATTGGAATATTTCGTTGTTCAACTTATATAAAAGAACGATGTAGATTAGAGAATATTTTTTAAAAGCATAAGAAAACGGAATAATTTCTTTACGAAAAATTTCAAAATGTATACTCATAGAGTACCAACATAAAAATATTATGAAACAAAATGCACTTGTATTTGCTTCGTTCTTTTATTTCATAGCTGCTAAAGAGCAAAAGTAATAAAAATAAATTTAAGCTTAAATTACGAACCGGTCATTAGTATAAATAAATTAATCGCAAATCGAAATAGCTTTAATAATTTGTGGTCGTAAAGACATAAAGTATAAAGTTAATTCGTAACAGGGGATTGAATTGGACGTACAGTATCGCGTGTCACATATGTTAATATGTAGACTAATAATTTAATGTACACTCGAGCATTTGTTTACGATTATATTACTGCATACATACGATTGTTTGAAGGCCAATGTGCAACGAGACGTACAAATACAATTCGCACAAGTTGAACAAATAATATTCTTAAGCATCAGCTATTAAATATCTAGTGGTACGTATAGATATCTCGTCCTTGGAATGTTTTATAACAATAATCCTGCACTAAACACCACCGATGCACAATGAATCCGTACACAAAACCAACGTTTAGGCCGTTGACTATAAATTACAGTCTATTCGCTCTTTTACAACAAAATCGAACAGTTCTAAAATTTGTCTGACGCACTTGGATACCTCTATGATTTTGGTACCCGAGATAGGGTTCTGCTCCCTTGACAATAGCCCCCTATGGATACGCTACAGGTATACGCGTTATCCACCGACCAATATAATCGACTAACCAATATAACTATAATCAATATAACCGACCAATATAAAGTAATCGGTTACCGATCGACAAATACACTAGGACGATGACAAGGTACCTGTTCAACGCCGTCGTTGATCCGAATACGATTCGTAAATAAACGCCTATCGCCGCCGCCGCGGTTATCGCTATCGGTGACGAGTTGACAGTTTCGGGGGGATTCGGCTGGTCATTTCCCCTTTTAAATAAATTATTACTCGTCGTGGACATTGTTACAGCCACATGGTTACGAGTACATAATTCTTTACCCAGACTAAACTGATCTTTATTCCATAGCATTAAACTTTTTTAACGGTTTGTTATTTTTCTTGTGTTAATAAAAGATGTGACTTTCATAAGCGTTAAAAATACAAGCGTTTAATTATTATTTAAATACCTATGACAATCACGATTACCTCAAGCTAACGAATAACGTACGACGTCGTTAAATAATTAATGAGGTAACCGATCGCAGTGTTGTGCACAGTGATCACCAACATTCGGATTTCAAGTCGCCGGACGACGGACGGTCAGAGCGATCCGGAACGGTCGTTCGAAATCGCCGCGGAAACGGCGGACCAATAGGACCGCAGGCCCCATACGAAACGCTGCTGCGGTGTTAGTATCGATCGTGACGGCTGGGCGACGCGCACGCCGCCTCGGCCGTCCGCTAGCAGTTGTAGTTGCACAGTCGTCCCTAGACCGCGTTTAAAAGGGTCCGGGATCGCGCGCGGCTCACGTTATCGTCTCCAAGGGTGCCCGGGGGGTTGATAGGACGCGCAGTGATAGTGCGGTCGCGTTCACGGTGCGAAGTACGTCACTGGAGCAGTGGTTGCCGAACCGACGGAACACGTGAGTACAGAGTAGACGTTGCACGGCAATTCGTGTTTAAACCGGCGGACCGTTTCGCGTCGTCACGATATCCATTGGACGCGATCCAGGGCCGGGGACTTCGAGGGGCCCCGTTATCGACCGTAGGGTGTCCGCGCCGAAAGTCCTAACGCGCATTCGTGCACCGTTGTGAGGGGGGGCATGACAACGTTTGTCGGCGCAGCGGTTCGTCCCCGTACGATCTGCCCACCCGCGTGCGTCCGACAGGAAATGCGTAACACAACGACGTCGTTCGACAACGATACGTGTCCGTCGACCACACCGTGGGGTTAGGAAAACAAATCGAAATGGAAAACGATACGAGAACCGCCGACCGTCATACGTGTTATCATTATTATCATTGTTATCATTGTTTCTGTCCGAGCGCGATACGGATAATTATTCAAACAAGTAACCGTAACGCATTGCATTTCTATAAAAATCCATAGCTCCCACCGGGTTATTATTTTCTTTACGTTTCGTTAAGCCGCGGTTAACCTATGACGTTCATTTTCTGCTAAAAACAATAATTGCGAACATCAACACAGTATAATGGTTCGCTGCTAAGAAATTTAACTGCGAATGAGTGCACATAAATGTATACTACCACAAGTGAACATTTTCAGTGTTTTTTTTCTACGGCTCAACGGATATTTTACGAACCGACGAGAGGGTGAGAACATATTGATTGCTTGTACAACTCTGTATTCGAACATAACGTTGTCACTGCTGAATCATCATTTGAATCGTTTGTACAGGCGATAAACTGGGGAGTATTAGTTAATCAATTATAATGTAAGTTCCTTTAGGGTTTCACATCTTCACATTTGTAGGCGTATGCACGTTTTATCGGAATATTTTGAATTCGTAAGTTATGCTACAATAGTATTTTTTTGTAAAAAAAAAATTAAAATTAAAACTATTTGATTTAATTGAGATATATAATGTTCAACATTAAGTGGTTTATAGAAAGTATGTCGCTACGTTATCATATTTAATCTTATCATAATTAATTGATTAGCGCAATTGCATTCGTGAACCCCATAAACCTTTTACCTTTTGAGCAAAAGATCTATGGTGAACCCAGAAGATGTTATCACGTTTACGTATTTTAAATTTTTCAATCAGAGAATATCTTATTAAAATCATTGCAGAACTGTTATATATGTTATTGCGTTAATTCGCTTATGTCATATTATATATAACGTATAAATAACAGTATAAATAACGTTTAACCGCTGTAAGTGTTTAACTGATCTATTTACAAATTTTTAAGATACAAAAAATTATGTTTTATGATTTACATGTAATACATGTTATATGCAAGAATCATAACCTTCAATTTTAATATTTTAATACTATTTACTGAGCTTTTGGGTAAAAATATTAATTTATAAATGTTACAAATTAATGACAAAATCGCTTGTACATATTTAAAATAATGAAGTGCCTCTTGTATTATTCGAATTTTATTTATTTCAATCTACAGTCTACGGTAACGACACTCGATAAAAATATAATTTATCTAAACGTTCATACTTGTTTTATCGGTTTAAACGTGCGATAATAACCATACAAATACATTAGCAAAAATGTGACACTTAAATTTGTCATTTTAAATCATTTTGGTTTCGTTGAAAATTAATTTGTGTTTAAATAAAAAAATTCTTCCGCGCAGCGAAAACATCAAATGCTTTTCGTAAGTATGGATACTCGAAATTTCGTTCAACAAAAATATTCATTCCAACACTGTTTTTACATATGATTTGTGATCAAACCGTCCGGCGTTATTTTTCGTTGTAGACATTCGGGACAGCACAATAGTAACAGTACACGGTATCTCTCGGGTCTTGGGCTTGAACCTACTCTGAATACCTACCCAATACACTACGGTCACCCCAAATAATATTATGTAACCGAAACGGTTCGTCGCGGGTATCGTATGTCTGCAGCGGCCGGCAACGGTCGCCCACGCACATGCTTGACATTAAAAAATAGTTTTATCAATCCTTTCCACATGTGACGCATGCTTCAACAACACCGTTTATAACGATAATATGACGCGTACGCACAATACAACTAAATATTAATCGTAGTACAACAACACCATAGCCGATGTTTAAAGTAGTAAATGTAAAAAAAAATATTTTAAAATAGACTAGATATGTTCGTTCACGAATGTTGGGTAGACGATTCCTATATAGGTACGTATGGTAAAAGGGTTATAATGTCAAAGGTTTACGTTGTCAAACAGCAGTGAGCACATGCAGGGATTCTGACGAATATGTTGCTAATTTGTTGTCTGCAGCCAAATCAACTCACTCGCAAAATTACAAATCTATATATTTTTATTCGACCTTAATTAAAGTATTCTTTTTATATGAAAAAAACCATTTTTCAGGTCGAATGAAATGTTGGTGTAGGGTAAAAAATATTTCTTAAGAAACCTGTCGGTATACACGGTGCTTCTCTGCGTAATATAATATTACGATGAATATATTAGTGTATCAATATCAATAATTAAATTGTAACGATATATTTTAAAGGAAAATTACTTTTTTTTTTGTGACGGCTGATCTTTCGCTGTATGTAACCGAAAAACGTTCTTTTGGAAATTGTCTAGAAATCTATAAATTTAATGGAAGCTCAGAATTAAAATAAACAATCAAAATAAAATAAATAAATAAAAGGGAATAATAACTTGCAGTAGATGATACCGTAGGTGTAGTTTTAATAAGACGTATTTAATTTAATATTTATTCATCTGGAGTGTATAAAGTAAATGTGAACCAGCATTTTTTGTCGATTCGTGTTTATATTAAAAACAATACTATTTCGTCAAGTACTTCGACCCGATTATCAATAAAGTTTGGTACGATATTGAATTGAATGCGTGTTTTACCGTCGAGCAATAATAATCCGATTATTAGCGACGAATCCAAGGGGTATTAATCTTAGGAAATCATAAATAATATGATATGTTAAGGGTATATACGTGTACGGTGTATTCACGACCAAACCAATCACAGAACGTCATTTATAATTCGAAACCAAAGAGCGAATCGCTTTATTTATTTACACAAAATATATATGAACATTCGCGTCTCGCAGATATTACGGATTTTCGTAAAACATTATTAATACGTAACTGATCGCGGGGGAGGGGGGTAACTCCCGTACACGTGCCACCGTCAATGACACGTTCGTCGTGAACCGCAGATTTGATCGAAAACCGTTTCTAAAACCGCGTAACAACACACGCGAATCATATCGTAGTACGGCACCCGCGGCTTGAATTCGATATACGAAATGCTGTGTAAAAACCTGATTTTTTTTTTTTTTTTTGTCTTTTTGCAGCTGCTGTTCCTGTGTTAACGGGCCCTAACCCAGCCTCGGCGAATCCACCCTAACTCCGTTCGGTGGCGCAGGTATACTCCGCTCGCGCGCACACCCGGACCGCGCGCCCGTGTACGCGCAAGGCGTGTAAAAGAAGAGAATAATAGCGTAATAGTACGGCACAACAGTATGGCGCGTGCGCCCCGGCACAACGGTCCGGCGTCGGAGGAGCAGCTGTTGGTTCGGTGGCCGTGACGTTCGCGCGCGGTCGTCGTCGTCGTCGTCGTCTGCTAACACCGCGCGCTCGTGCACAACATCCCTGTCGAACGGCAGTCGTTCTCGCCGCGACCTGGTGTGCCCGTCCCCGTCCCGTACGTACCGTCGGTTTGGCGCGCGATCACACGAGCACGGGCTAGCCGAGCGGAGTGCACTACCCCGTATCGATTCCGCGTATATACTCGCCCCGCATCGATCGTTTTGTCGGCGGGTAACGACTCGCGTGCCGACGCGTGATCTATAGATCGGTATCGTCCTCCCGGGTTTTCTTTCCTCGTCGTCCGGACCGGCAATCGGTTTACGCGCACGAATTGTACCATGCCGTCGGTGACGGAGATCACTACTACTACTACTACTGCTGCTACTACTACTATTGCTGCAACGTGATCGTCGAGCATGACGACGACCGGTTTGGTAAGTACGAATACGTATAAATGTACGCATAACGTCCTCCGATTTTTTCCTATTTTCGTTTTTCGATCGATTTTCCTTCGTCGCCGTCTCCTGCCGGTTTCCGTTTATTTTATCACGGCCCGTCGTCTCCCGCCAAAAATCCGTCCCCGTCTTCCAGGTGATAATATTTTCGGCGTCGGGTTCTCGCGCTCGAATCCTGGCCGCACCTTTACCGTCTCCGCGGCAACGTTATTATGTCCGTCATTGTTGAGTACGCCGCGGGATCTCTTTTCGGGTTCACCGCGAGTGGACAACACCACAATCTTTAACTCTGACTGACGCGTACCCTCGGGTGACAGGGGTTGTGTTTGGAGCACTTCAATAAATTCGAAAACTCTCGTGTTGTATTTTTTATTTTTATATTGGTTAACGGTAACACGGTAAGAACTGTACATATGAATCGTGTACTTAGGTAGGTCCAGAAAAAAATAATAAAATATTTCTTTATACAAACGTGGGCGAGAAGAAGCGGGTTTCACTTGCAAAACGCATGACTACTCTCCGATAACGTATCTAAATAAATACGTCTGGTACATAATCGCGTATAGCATTACGTTTTATGTAATTTTATTTTTCAAAAATTATTAATAGTCTTACAATAAACTACGAGGTTAATTGTTATTGAATTACACGTCGGGAACGTACAGCATGGACGTCAGTATTTTCGATTCAATATATTCAAAATATTGATTATTAATACTTTTAAAGATTTATTGCATAAAACGAACGTCTAGTGAGTGATATCACTGTAAGATGGGTGCGCTTCACGTATTTATTTTCGTACCTACGAAGTTTCTCCGTTTTCGTACGATAAACAACATTCACCGAATTCTTTTTGAAGTACGATATTTACATTTAATATTTCTATTATAAGTTATGAATCATAAATCGCATGTAATAAAGGTTGTAATCGCATTTGTTGATTGCAACGAACTGCAGTCAGAATTTATTTTATCTGACCAATACGTTTAGATTAAAATCCTGATTTGTTTGAAGTAATTTTTGTATTTTTAACAAACTATTTAATGCAATACTGCGTAAATTTACTTTGTTATTTATGGGTTTGTAAACTTTTATAAATATAATGGTAGTATATTAAGAAAATAATTCAATTCTGGTTTTAGGAGACCAAACTTCGTACTGATACATTGCTTTTGCTTTTTTGTAGATTTCCCAAAAGCTTACATTATCCGTGAACTAAAAATGAAAAAATTTCATTGACAAAAATAAATAACGAATTTTTTATATTTCATTCTACGTAACACGTAGAAGATTTGCTTTGGCCGCAATAGGTACTTTTTTTTAAAATGCTCAATTTTCTTATTCTTAGATCGTTTAAAATACTTTTATAAAAATATAATTTAATAGTCATGCGTTTGTTCTAGATGATATTGTTGTATAGTTCATGTGGTAGTCGATTGATTGTTTAGATGATATGACATTTCGGTGTAGTGTAAAAGTAAATTTGTACAACTGAGATTAAACAAGAATTCATCTTGAAATAATAATAATATGATATATTGAATTTTTTAAGGATCAGCATTGATTTGTAAGCAGGAATATTTTTAGTAGTTAAACCAGAGGTTATACCTCAGTAAATTATGGTATCCAATGACTCATGGTAGCGATCCAAGTACGTGTTCTCAAACTAAAATTATACTTTCCATAAAAGGTATAACATATAGTTTCTTTAACGTTTTTTTTTTTTTTTCTATTAAACGTAAAACGTAATAATTTTATGATTCCCAAGTTACTTTAAAAGGATTTCGTTTCGATAAAAACGAATAGAATTTTTATTTCTATACAGATTATAAAAGCGTCTTATTACTATCGCTATTATTATTATTATGTCAACGAGCAGTATTAAATGATATGAATAACGGTTCATTTATTATAAATTCAGTTTTCTGAAACACTGAACACGTATTGTACAACCTATAATTTCAATATTGTTGAAAACGTTTGTTTCGAATTCATATAATCCAAAAATAACAATCGACGTCAAAAAAAAAATATCTGTTTATACATATAAGTATACTAAACATATATGTATATTGTATGGTTAAATATTCAAATATATAATACTGCAACTTCCTTTATTTTATTTGTATTATATTACACTATTGTGTGATATTATTTCTTTAGTTTCCACTAAGAGCAGAGGTTTTCTTTTTTTTCGTTACATATTGCAACAAACAGTAGTAACAAAATTATGATTTACCAAACGTAGATTTCTAATTTAAAGCTAAACGCTATACATTTCTCAAAAAATCAACCTAGAATCGATATTATTGTGCTTACGAGATCAAAGATAATATCATAAAATCGTGGCCTGTGATGAAGATTATAACGGCGAATCAATGGGCGCAATGCGTAACAATTGTTTTGTGAATCAAATCTTACGTTCAGGTTGACAAATCACACGGTAATTAACGGCAATCCTGATTTAAACTGAAGTGAATGCCTGACTAATGTTCTATAATGTTCCGACTGAACCTCTTATATATAAAACAACAAAAGGTGATTTGAAACATTGTCGATTCTCGACGGGTTTGAATATTTCTAACATTTAGACAGATGTTTTACTACTCGATCACTGAACCATGGTACATGTGCCAAAGTTTTAAAAAACAAATCCAATGGCAACGAATACCGACTTCTCGTCGAAGTTCGTCAATTGTTTATTGTATCTAATATTGAGTTCCGGTATCAGTGAATTGATAACGTTTCATATTGAAATGGTGGTCGTGGCGAACGGGTTGAGTTCACATGCGATTTGTATTTTAATTTTACGAGTACACCAAACGCGCGACAACAAAATATCATCAACACCATGGCGAGTTACACATTTTTTCAAATTTCTGTTATTGTTCCGGGGTATGATAAATTCGGTCAATGGTAATAAAATCGTGATTGTTTATGATTAATATTTATGATATATTATTGTTTATATCGCGGATCACTAGCCGTGCGTATATACGTTGTAATATTATACTCGCACGGGTTCCCTTTGCCTACTACTACTATTAACAATGCGCGACGTGTTTACTGGCACGGTGTGCGCTTATCGATTTCAATGATCATTTTCGCAAACCGCGTAAAGGGTTGTATAATTAAATGCACGCGCATTTACTTTTGGGCGCGTCAAGGAGGGAACGAACAATGTCTACATTAATGAAACGTAATCTAGATACGACATTGTTGCATGGAAAACTAGTTATTCCCTATTACATTTTACACCCAACAGCCGCTGTACGTATACGGTCGAATGGTAACTGATGGGCTGTGCAATAATAATGTCGAGTGCGTGTGGCCCTTCGGTTTTTACGATTGACGGCAGTAAGACGTTTCGAGGCAAACGTTGCTCTTACGTTCACGAGCTGTAGGTTTTTTATTTTTCTTATTTTAATTTTATACTGTTACCCATAGTTTTCCGTGTTATACGGTTATTCGTCAAGATTAAACGAAGAGACACGAAGCGTAAAAAATCATCTCTTTCTCTCACGGAAAAAGAAAATAAAAAAAATCGCCGAAAAAACCATGCACACCACCGGCCAATATTATTACGTGTGTATCTATACGTTATTTATTATGTTATACGTATATACGTACAGCGTTGGACGAACGACGGGGAAAAAGATAATATACTTTTACCGTTGTCGTGTACAATATCATCCCAAACAAATTATATGTACATATACATACGTAACGTGATATTATTATTTATCATTATGTCATTACGGTCTCCACGAGGGGCGTGGTACGGAGTTGTATACAATTATAGAAATTATTATTATACAGTTCCTGTAAGATTTTCTTTTGATTCTCCAAAATTAATATCAGTTCATTTAAGAAAAAAAAAAAAAAAACAATAATAAAAACGTTCACACCTTATAATCATCATATACGATAACATTATAAAGATGCTATGTCCAAATTAAATAATTGAACTCTCGTTTTTTAATTCGTTTAGCTTAATATTTTGTTTATTATTGATTTTACGCTTCGACGAAAATAGCCCTTTTTTCCTCAAATTGTTTCTACGCACAACTCTTATTTCTATTATATCTACAATAACATTATTGAACGTATTTTGAAAGTACTCAAATTGTATGTAAGAGATACGTACCTACATTTATCTTAATTCCGGAACCAAATTTAATCTAATTATCTTTTTTAATTATCTCTATATTTTGATCTTTATAAATATTGTTACCTATCATTAAATATTCTGCAGTAGTATTATTCAATATTACTTTTATACTGTTAAATAAAATATAAACATTTTACTTTTAATAAATACATAAAATTGTAAATTTGTAAATTTGTGTATTTCTTAATTAAATAATTCGCTATATTAAAAAATAATATATGAAATATAACTGGACTATGCGTAATAACGTAATGGCATCATTTATACAATATTATACTACTACTGTTTACTACTACTGATATAATAAGCTAATTGTTTTTGAAAATAAATTTCTAATTGTTAAAGCAAAAAATATATAATCACGATAAATTAATATGAAAATATGCGCAATATTGAAAATGAACTAGAATACAGTTTTTATGATGTATATTACACTGGACAATGAGTACGTACACAAAATCGTAATAAAAATGGAACACAACACTATGTTTATTTAAAAATGTAAACATTTACAGTAGAGATCGTTAACTAAAAATAATTTTTAAACACAAGAGATTTAAAATTAGAAATAAAACTCTTTATTAAAATCTATGTATATAATTTAAATGTAAATTTTGTATTATATAAATATATATTGAAATTGTCAATATTTCGATGATTTCCAGTTCATAAAATATAACTCTATGAATATATACCTTTTTCTCAGAGGACCATGGTGTTCTGCGAGACATAGCGTGAAAAAAAATTGAAGAGCAGTTCATTTTCGTGCATAGCTCTCCTCCACTACTGAATACCATCCCGATGGTTG